CAGAAGAGCTTTAAGCTTTGGGTGTGTTCAGTTCCCGCCATCGTAGTACATTACAGAGCATCACATTATTGTTATGGTTTATTGAACACCATTGTAGTACAGAACTCCATTTGTTTGGAACAAAAATTGAAAATACGGTTGACACACATATGATTGCAGAAGTATACTACAATACGTACTATATGTCTGCCTTTGTCATTTTAAATTTGAATAGTCTTAATAGGAAAATAAGTTTCTTGTCTACCCTAATGTATTTGTTGAGAATGCCGTTTTAAAATGTTACCAGCACATTCGAGCTAGTTATTTATCGATTTCACTCGTTGTCGATTGCTGTACTCACATTTCATTGAGCTAATCTCCAGCGGCTTTATTGCAATGGTTTACATTTTTGCAATTATTTTGTAGAAATATTTGCATATTCAATTTAAAGTTTGTAGCTAAAAGTGCGTACTTTAGAAAAGTTTAAAGTATTATAAGTTTTCAAATATATGCAGTATTAGTTGCTTAACACGATTGAACGAACTTTAGTTTGTAAAAAGTTGCTTCCAAAAAAAAAAAAAAAACAAATCAGAAAACTTCAAAAGTAATATAAAAATATAATATTAATAACATAATAGATATTTGAGATAGCTTGAGTGTACGAATCCGCCTCTTGTAATGGAGGACACACTTAATTTGGAAGTTGAGGAGTCAATGGTGGATGAAAAGCAGGCCGGTGAAAGGCCTGCGAATACCGTAAAAGAAATGCGGGACCACAAGGAGGGTCGAAATTTCATATGTGGTGTAATTGAGGGTAATGTTTGTGTATTCTCCTTTAAACGAATTACTTCAAGTTTCTATTTCTAAATACAGGGTTCTATGGAAGACCCTGGACAACTGAGCAACGGAAGGATCTATTTAGAAAGTGCGTAAAAATATAATATTTTAATGGTAAATTATTTTAATAATTTAAATCTATTAGGATGAAAAAATGGGGCATGGATTCATATGTGTATGCTCCAAAGGATGACTATAAACATCGAGCTTATTGGCGTGAATTATACACTGTTGAAGAAGCTGATCATCTTACAAGTATTATAATTACAAATTTAATTTCGTAAATAAGTTTTGGTGTTTAATGCAAAATGAATAATATAATGGTTGCAGGCTTAATAACTGCGGCTAGGGAGCACGATGTAATGTTTTACTACGCTCTCTCACCTGGCTTGGATATGTCGTACAGTAGCCCAAAAGAAATTCAAACACTAAAGCGGAAACTGGACCAGGTTTCACAATTTGGATGCGAAGCATTTGCATTACTTTTTGACGATATCGATTCGGAAATGTCCAAAGTTGATAAAGAAGCTTTTCAAACATTTGCCAATGCTCAAGTAACACAAACACCAATACTAAGAACATGAATTATATATAATATTTTCTTTAAAATTAGGTATCTGTTACAAACGAAATATTCACCCATTTAGGCAGTCCGAAATTCCTATTTTGCCCCACTCAGTATTGTAGCACGCGTGCGATACCTACAGTCCACGATTCAGAATATTTAAATACGTTGGGTTCAAAACTTAACCATGATATCGATATCATGTGGACTGGCAACAAAGTAATCTCAAAAATTATTAGTCTCGAATCTATTCAGGAAATAACTGAAATATTACGTCGACCACCCGTTATTTGGGATAATTTGCATGCGAACGATTACGATCAAAAACGAGTTTTCTTGGGTCCTTATTCTGGCCGTTCACCAGAATTAATACCACATTTACGAGGAGTTATGACTAATCCAAACTGTGAGTTCCACGCGAATACCATTGCCATTCACACTTTAGCCAGCTGGTCGAAATGCAGTCTTGATTCTAAAGTAAACAGTAAGTAACACAAAAAAAAAATGTGGATTCACATTAATATATTAATATACATTGAAACCAGGTTCTATATCTGCTGACATTAAACTCGAAACCCAAAACGAGGACGGCACGAATGAGGAAGAATTGCCGGTGGATTGTTTATCGAAAAATATGTATCATCCTCGCATTGCGTTAAAGTATGGTTATGGCTTTTTATTTTTTAATTAAAAAGAGTTTTTTTTTTTGTTTTTATATATTATATATATTTTTTTAGAAACGCTATTGACGAATGGTTGCCTGAGTTCTTTGTGGCAAAGGAAGCCTGGGGTCCCATTACGAAACCGCAACCACAAGTAACAAGTAAGATCTTTCACAACTGTTACATATTTCAGCATTTTCAACTTATTCTCTCTATATATATTTTTCTTTTTTCGCTGAATAGTGGTTATGCCTATTATACCAATTATACCATCTATTAACACCTGTATGAGTTTGACGACAACAACAACGACATCGACTAGCACGAAGACTATAACGGTGCCTGAAGTGAACACCACACAACTCCAAGCTTTGGCTGACGTGTGCAGTACCGTTAACTCATCAGTTATTAATCCGATTGCGAATCCCGTAATGAATTCCTTGGTTTCTCCAACAAAAGTTGTAACAAATGACGACATTGTAAATCCCATACCTACATGTGTGGCGTCGAATATTGAGCTGCCCAAAAAAATTCCAATATCCATCGTAGCGGTACCAATAATGCACTCCAAAGTTGTGGAGGATATATTGCCGAGAAATTTAGACACGGAAGGCGAGATTCTGAAATCGCCAGTTTCTATACTGGAACTAACAACGGCAATAACAAAACCAATACCGCTAGCAATTGAAAATAGCTCTGCACTAACAAAATCCAATTTAAATGCAAATGATGCAACGACAACACTAAATCAGGATAATGTGTACAAGGAGGACGAAATGAGTATTGAGAAAGCACAATCACTCTCTACAGAGTCGCCAATTGTGAACTTGAATCATGAAGAGAAGTTGCCGGATGCATTGGCAATTGAAAGTGTTGACACAACTATTGTAAAGGCACCAGAATTATCAATAGACACAAGCGCAACGCCAAGGGAAAATGTAAATAGTACAGGTGCGCTACCAATGGTAGATGAGCATACTTTGAGCCCGCTCAGTGCAATCAGTGCAGGTGGCAATGAACCGATGGAATGCAGCAGTAGTCTAGCTTCGCAAGCTTCTGGCAAGGAAGATCGCAAAATGATTTCTGAGGATGTTGTAATGGCTGAAGGTGTGGACGATGATGATGATATTTGCAATGGCTCGATGAACGAACTGAATGTAAAGAATTGCAAATTTAAAATTTCGTGAGTGCAAATATTAACAATTTTACTTTTCTAACTCTGCTTCTTATACAGAATAGCATGCAGGTGGAGAGCTCTGAAGGTTCGCCACTCTCAAATGCCGACATGAAAGATTGCGATGACAAGTAATTATTTTTTTATTATTTTGTTCTATAGTAATTATTTATATTATTTTGAATTGACAGAAATCCTCCGGAGGTCGGTAGTAGTAGTAGCATTACTGTGGAGGATCTTTACTTACTATGTGATCTCTTTTATCTGCCATTTGAGCATGGAAATCGTGGTTTAAAGCTATTAAATGAATTCAACTGGTTAAAAGCGAATGCGAACGTGTTGCTAGGTAACGACAAAGCTGTTAGAAAATGTTCTAATGCGGATGGCGCAGTATCGCCCAAACCAGAGGTAGCCGAGTGGATGCAGCGAGCGGAATCATTCTCCAATCATTGTAATTCTGTACACGAACTGCTACGTAAAATCGCTAATTGTGCGAACAAGGAGATATGTCATGATTTATTTTCGTACGTGTGGGACATTGCTGGTACTTTGACGCTACTAAATGCCTTCGTGAAATGGCTGAGTCTGGGTCATTTTCCGACTAATGTTCAAACCTACACGCAGGGTACATACACATGTAAGCATATACATATATGGAAGGAAAGGGACGTGCATTTATTTATATGTGGTGTACTTTACGTTAACTATTTATAGGGTTTAGCAAGGGTTGGAAGGAGGCCTTCATGTCGGGCGACCAAGAGCCTTGGGTATTTCGTGGCGGTCTTACCGCTGATTTGCAAGTAAGCCTTTCAACAATTATTATTATATTAATTATCTTTTATATGAAATTATTGTTCTTTTCGAAGCGTCTGATGCCTGTGGATTCTGGAAATGATCTGTTTCTATATAAACTACCTGAACTGCCGACAAGTGACTATCATTTAATACGCCCCTATACACCAATTGACGAAGTTGAATTGGGACAAGTTTGTACACAGGCGTTTTTGCAACTAAGCTTAAATGGTTCGGACGAGAGACCAGTCGAAAGTGACGCTTGTTTCGAATCACTGTTTCCCAGTCATTTGAGTGAACTTATTGCGGATAATATTGTTGGACACTTTGTCACGTTATATCCTCACTTTTGTATGGTTGCACATGACGCTTCTAATGCTATTGTTGGTTATGCAGCTGCTGCCTTAAACATTCAAACATTCATGCGAAATGTGGAAGTATGTTGGATACCATCGATGAAAGAAAAGTACTCCGAATCTTTACTGGAAAAAGATAACTTCATTAACGTGGCAAATGGCTCAGAAAGTGCGCAGAGACATTCATCTAAGCTTAACGCGCTTATTGCTGAAATGATACGTGACTTTCATAATTATGAATATCAATGTCCAGCTGAAGTAAGTAACGCATATCCAGCTTTACTAACAGCCACCGCCTTAAAGGATGCATTGTTACGGGATTATGGACTTTTAAAGCGTTTAATAACTGTGACTTTGGCCACGTTACGTTCGAATGGATGCTTTGGTGTTCATGTTCGTTTGTCTTTTAGGGACTCTGAAATCTTTCAACAGCATTATGCAAAAGTAGGATTTACTGAAGTGTATCGTGACCCTGAAAATAAATTTATCTATCTTGGGCGACGTTTTTAGCAACTGTCAGCTCAAACACAGACAAATTTTTTACTAAAATTGCGTCGAAGTGTGCGAATCTCGCAACGGGTTGAAAAACAAATCAAAAGGCAAGATAAAAAACTCAAATTTGTGAACAATTATTACGATTCATTTTACGAAGAAACCGGCACTTTGTGAGCCACTACAATTTTGATTAAAAACAGCTAACATACCGGCGTCCTTAAAATTTATATACTGCGGAATTCATACTCATCTCACGGTAAATAAGCATCGGTATTGCTCTATGACTGATATATCAATCCATTTTAATCTAAAAATATGTATAGTAAATGTGTCTGCACTTTTTATGTATGTATGTATGTATGTAAGTACTTGAACTATTTGCTATATCCAGTTCATTTTGCGTTTTTTAAAGCTTGATTAAAAACCAGCGCAACACCATATGCAGCAAATAAAAATTAAAAAAAAAAGAATCGCATTTTAAATGTGTTAATTGTAACTCCAGATTATATACTTCTTTCGGCGGTTGACTTAGCCTTGTCCAAGTCATAATACCAGACAGTGTTAACGCCTTCTTCAATAATATGTTGTGGTTGCAAATTCGGCAGTGGGAACCTGCATGCGATAATTTTGGCATTTCCCGGTGACTCCACAATAAGCTTTTTTTCCAAATCTTTCATCTTAAAAAAAAGTAAAATCATGTCAAATGCTATACATTCAAATTGATTATACGTTGACGTACCATCTGTTCCACACCAAATATAACAATATATTCATACGGCGTCACGCTATATTTCCACAAATCACGTCTATAAAAGTGTGTTTTACCATAGACACCTTGTCGTAGAGCTGATATTCGCGAAAACCATACCAACCAGGGATTGAGTTCAACACCATCTGCATTTAGTCCGTTTTTAGCCGCCGCTAATAATATATTAAGTTTTTTTTTTTTAATTATTTAAATTTTTTATTAAAAAAATAATATTATGTACCTACAACAATTCGCCCATCTCCAGATCCTATGTCCAATAATTTGCTTTGTGAGTTCTTAGGTAAGAAGCTGAGCACATTTCTAACCTGCTCAGAGGTGGCAGGAACATATGGAAGACATATTCTTCGAAAAGCAGGAGCTACAAAAGATGCACATATGACACTTAACCCAATGCCAACACCACCGGTTGCAGCAATAAGAATTTTTGCCGAATTTGACATACTTTTCCTTTTCACAGTTCCAGTACTATGGTCACCCAAGTAATCCATTGCGTTATGATTACGATATTTTCTTATTCCATTATTTCTTTACATCTATTTACGAATAGAATTAAAGGAAGGTGGATGGTATCTGTCATATGATATACATTCTCTGCTTAAAGTGACGTTGATAGAAGAAAGTAAAACAGAGTTACTTAAATTTGGCTGCTTAGTTGTTTAGTAACATTTGAACACTAATTGCAATTAAATAATCTACAATTATGAAAATAAATTAATTTTTATTTACATATTTTACAATATATATATTAGAAATTGGAAAATATAATTTGATTTTTTAATGATGTATTTTCACAAATATGCCTTCTTCAAGCTATTATTACACACTGTGAGCATTACTCCTTTTTGGCGAAAAGCAACCCTGTGACATTTACTGTCACGCATTAATGCAACCGTGTTCGACGCCGCCATTTATATTTTCGTTTCGGGATTTCGTGTCAAATTTTTGATTGGAAAAAGTAAACGCGATCTAATATAAAGAAATTGTTGCAGAGGAGGTTTGCAAAGCAATCTCATATTGTAAAGTGCAACAAATACGGATAGTGTGATTTTGTTACAGTGAAAATATCAAAATAAGTGAAAATATGGCAAATGTGCGGGACAGCGACACTTCATTGTGGCTGCATAACAAACTCGGCACTTCGAACGATTCGTGGATAAGTGGGTCGATATGCTCACAACTTAACAAGGAAGTGCTGCGCAACATAAAGGAGTGTTTTCCGGATTTGCAGACTCAAGTGAAACTGAAATTATTGCTAAGTTTTTTCCATATACCACGTCGGTTGGTAGAAGAGGTGCGTAAATACTGCTGATACGGCTGCATTGCTGTCAGAAAATAAACGCGTTGATTGGTTGGAAGGGCTAGCGGGCGGTGTAAATTATGAAAACCTAAGATAGATCACACATTAAAAGTACACCCATGTAAATGAACATATGCGCGCACAAGAGCATACGAATACTTAATGTTTAGCATTTTATGATTGTAGTTGTGCTTGCTTTGATGACATCGCTCCATGTCTGCTGAACGCCAGTGCCTCGTCATTGTTTTCTTGTACAATTTTGTTGACTTTATATAGTATAGTGTCTCAATTTTAAAACACGATCAATTCATATTAATATTACAAATATTCATTTGCTTCTAGTATTAGTTCATGGTGATTCTATTACCATTAAAAATTTTCCCGCCACTTGGCTCGTTGTTAAACTTAGCAAGTGTTGCGGCAAGTGTATCCGCACTATGAAAGTACCACCACATGTGTATATGTGAAGATGTGCGTATTTATAAACATGTGTGGGTTTGAAAATAGCTTTGATATGGAAATTTGGCTGTCAGAATTTATAGTGTTTTTAAGTTAAAATAGTTAAAATCATGTTGTAGAAGTTAATAAAAATATATATTTGTATCTTTTCAAATTATAGTGGAAAGTTGAATTAGAGGAAGTAATTGAAGTGGCAGGTTTGGATTCGGAGCTGTGGGTCTCAATGTTGGCGGAAACCATGAAAACTTTCCCAGCGACAAGCTCGCTAAATACAGAAATCTCAGAATATGAAGATACGCGACCTATATTCACTGATATGGTTAATGACTTACGGAAATTAGTCAGTAAGCACAGCGATCTAGGCATGCTTCCATTAGAATGTTTATATTTAAACAAAAATGCCTTGGTCTCAGTGGTAAGTGGGTAAACGCTTTTTATACAAACTATTTATAAATGTTTCATAATTTACATGCATTCTTGTTTATACGAATAGGTGGGACAGCAGCCAAATCCCGTGAAGCATTTTACCATAAAACGAAAGCCTAAAAGTGCCAACTTACGAACTGAACTTCTTCATAAATCAGCAGACGCACAATCCTCCTTAAAAAAATCTTCTGCTCCAACAATACCATTACGATCACGTGGTATGCCACGTAAAATGACGGATACCACACCGCTGAAAGGTATTCCGTCGAGAGTGCCTTCTTTGGGTTTTCGAACGCCTAATGTATCTGGCGCACCACAACGTCCAAACCTAAGTCGCACACCAGCGGGTCGAAAGGACGGTGGAATAAAATTGATCGAACTTTCGGAACAACCCTTGGGTTATGCTGCGGCCAAGAAACGTAAACGAGAACAACAATTAGAAGAACAACAAAAGAAACAAGAACAGAAACAGATAGCAACGGCAGCTGCAGCAGAAAACACATCACCATTAGCTACATCACCAACACAGACAAGTGGTTCTAGCAATGCTGTGGGGGTCGCCACTACACCTTCGGCTACCACAACTGTCGAAATCAAGACAGAGGCAGGAGCCAGCTTAAATACAAGTAGTTCCATAGATGATATGTTAACGGATAGTAAAGATAATGTGTTGACCACTAAGATCGAGCCATCGACACCGGAATACGCTCAATCATTAAGCTATACCCAACCAACCTCGCCCAAGTTGGTAGAGAGCAAACCACAAATTAAATCAATTGAAATACCATCCACATGTGTAGACAACTCAATTTTGACATCCGCATCTACTGCCACAATTGCAACACCAACGAAAGTGAGCAGCATGTCCACACAAACACAAACGCAAATTCGAACACCGACACAAACGCAAGTTAATAACAATAGTAATAATTTGAATCACAGCCACAAACGAATTAAACAAGAGATTGAAATTAAGAGTGAAGAGATTTTAATGCCACCTAATATTAAAGTGGAAAAGATCGAACCACAAACGCAGCCTACATTGTTGGCACAGCAACTCCCTCAGACGCCGACTCGTTTGCAGCAGCGAATAATTATACAACAGCAAAAAACACCACAACAACAGCCCTTACAAGCACAAAAACAGCCAATGCAACAGCAGGCCACACAGCATGTGCTTATACGTGCCGCACCACAACAACAAAAACAAACGATTAGCGGTTTAACATTGAGCGGCAGCGGAACAACCGTGACTAGGCAAAAAATCAATACAACCACCACATCGCCAACTAATGCCAATACAATGATAAAAATGGAAAAGTTAGATATAAAACCAATAACGACAAAGAGTCCTGTACCCAACACTACCATGTCGACCAATATTTACACCCAACAGCAGTTGCGACAGACCAACAATCCATTGGCGAATTTGCCAAATAATATTTCGGTAAAAATAACATCGACTAAATCACCGAAAGCTCAGTCAATACCTCAGCAAAGCGCTCATCAGCAGCAGCAACAGCAGCAGCAACAACAACAACAACAACCAATATTAATTAACAGCTCAACACCCGTGATAATTTCGTCAGCAGCACCTGTTTCAAGACCGGTAAGTTTTTAATTTGTCATTTCTTGTTTGGTGCGAAGAATGTCTAACTAAAATCACATTTGTAAATAATTACAGAAACAACTTGTTTCGTCTGGCACGTCGACAACAACAACGGCACAATCTATTAAGTCTATGCCGCTGAGTCAGCTAAAGACTGCCGCTAACAGTGGACCTGTTATTATATCGCAGACAATCATACAACCAGCTAAGCGTACAGCTAATTCGTCTACAAACCTTCAAACGCATCAACAACAACAACATACTCATATACAGCAATCTACTATACAGCAGTCAGTTAGCACATCTGCCACACCGACACAATACATCTTGACGACGTCAGCAACACAACCACAACAGCAGCAACAACAACAACTACAAACCGCTACAATGCCGACACTGACTTCCTTCGCTCGGCCAACTCAACAGAACACCACTACCTTATACCAAACCGCCGCATCGGCGAACTCGCAAACACCCACGAAGATTCTCTTGAAAAGTTCACCGTCAGGTGTGATGATGACACCGGTACGCCATCAACAAACAACGAACACAAGTAGTGGAAATCCACCGCCTCTTATAGCGACTTCAACAACGCAACAACACCAACAACAGCCTACTTTATTGAATATTCAAAATGTACAACTGCCCAATCGCCCAGTCACCATACAGCCAGCCTCTCAAGCAGCCCAGCAACAACATATGCAAGCGCAATTGCAGCAACAACAGCCACAACATACGATCGTCTCAAATACGAGCGCCACGCAACAACCAAAACTAACACAAGTACTCGTGCAATCCACGAATCCAGCTGGTGTTGGTGGCTCCGTAGGCAACGTGGGTGGCGTGAATGTGGCTAATGCGAATGCAAATATGAAGAACAAGACGATCATATTGACACAGAAGGGTGTTATATTGCGTAATATTGGGGGCGACATGTATCAGCAGATACCCATAAGCAATATGAGCGGCTTGCAAGGGCTAAATACTAGCGCCGGTACTACGCTAATGACCACAACCACCGGTGGACCACCAAGTCTGATGAAGACCACACCAGCTGGTGTGCAGACAGCACAAACAATACAACTACAGCAACAAAGTGGAAATCAAGCGAAACAACAACAACAACACATACCAACATTAATACCCACAAATACGCTGTCATCACAACACATGATCGTGCAGCAGCCGACACAAACGAACCTCATTAATGCGGTAAGTAATGCCATAAGCCTATACACAAGCTTTGCTAGATTTACAATATATGATATAAATGTGAATTATATTCCGTATGCAGCCTACCCAGCAGACCATAATTAGACCGGTTATATCAAATGTGCAGGGCAATAGTTTGACAACATTGCCACAAGGTCTAACGCTAATCCAGCGTCCTGGTCAACAACCGCAATTTGTGCAGGTGCAGACTGCCAACAACTCCACGGGTGTGGGACAGCAGCAGCAGACGCAAATACAGCGCACCATAATAACCCAGCCGACGCAGCAGCAGCAACAACAAATGCGGCCACAACAGATCGTACTGCAGCACAAGACGCAGCCGCAACAACGAATTATTACGAGCGCACAAACGGCGAGCGGCCAGCCGCAGCAGATACAAATTCAGCAAGGCGCCTCAACGGCGAACATGCCGCGCGCTACGCACATCGTGCAGGTGACACAGCAGGCACAGCAACAGCAACAACAGCCACAGGCGCAACAGGCACCCCAGCGCAAAGGACTCTCATTATCGGTAAGCATACACTTGTGTTTGCAGTTTTGGCTTAATCGAGTGCTTATTAACCGCTGTGTCTGTTTTACAGAACGAGCATGTCCATAAAGCGCACGAAATGTTCCGCAAGGCGAATCGCG